TTAAATGCATAAAACAAATAAACCTTAGCTACATGTATAAATGTCGTAATACGAACAGAGATCCAGTATTGCCTTTCCATTTGTTCGTACAATGTGTATACGCTGTTTGAAGTGAATAACGTATGTAATTGAAGGACACCAGACAGCAGTAGACTTGTTTAGAACACAGGGACCTGCTTATATGATACAGCTATATTTTAACCTAAACTAAGGTGTTCAGAGTAATTTTATATGTTTGAGGGGTTTATATCGACTTTCGGTAAAAATGACATCCCTAATGATCATATATAGCGGAAGGGAGGAAAGCTCTCAATGTCGAAATGTCGACCCCACCTAACAGTCTTGCATCAAAAACAACATTTCTAGTTGATCGACGGGAAAATGCTTAATACCGTTCGAAAGATGGATCATTTTTCTTTTAAAAAACTCCTATTTACACGTAAAATGTACTCTCCTTCCGCGGACATGAACTCCGTTTCCTCCAAAAACAAACCCGATTTCAGAGTTTCAAAGTTTCGTAGTCAGCCTGCCACTTTTTTTAATATTAATGAGATTGAGGTCAGCGCGTGCTGAAACATGCAGTGTTGGTTGGTTTAGCGAAAAATGGCTGTATTTCCAGCCAATCATACCATGGGTCTAGGCACGTAGCTGACGTCAACCTAATTGATATTCAAAAAAGTGTCAGGCTGACTGCGAAACTCTGAAACGGGGTGTGTTTTATATCAGTATTATTAAAGAAGAATCGTGGTTGAAAGGGTAGATTTGAAAGTGTCGCTATCATGATTTCTGTTTTTGTCGGATTAAAAGTCATTAGCCAGTCTTTCGACCGTTTTTCTAATTTATTCAGGTCAGAGTTGATTTCAGATTCTATATTAAAAAGATTAAGGGATAAATATGACAGTGACGTGTCATCCGCAAATAAGCGTGAAAGTGAAGTCAGTTCTTTTGAAATATCTTTTATGAATATCAGAAATAATAGTGGTCCTAGTACAGATCCTTGAGGTACACCCGCAGTGGTGTTTTTAAATGAATATAAGGATTCGTTAATAAATACTGCTTGTTCTCTATTCATAAGATAGTCTAAAATCCAATTTAAGATATTGCCCGAGGTGCCATATTGTTTAAGTTTATAAAGTAATCCTGCATGCCATACCCTATCGAAGGCTTTAGAGAAATCACAAAATACCAATGCTGTGTGTTCGCGTTTTTCTAAGGACAGAAGAATAGAGTGATACATTTCGATAAGTTGGTGTAGAGCGTAAGACTAGTAAACCAGAGGTCCCGGGTCCGACTCCTAGTGGAGGCTTTGAAACAATAATGACCTCTGTTACATGTACAATAAATGTAAAATATGTATTAAATGTAACATACGCAATGAATGTTATATGTTATAACGAGTACATAGTCTATGTAAAGCATTTTAACAATAATTCAGTGAAAACTAGCATTGCACATAACAAAAATGTTTATATAATTGCAAAAAAAGTGTAAAATTGTTGAATGTGTACAAATAAAAGTAGTTAAAATTGTATGAACGTGATTTGTATGTAGAAAATAAAATTGGCCATACCTAAGAAACACAGACGATTCAAATACGCCAGCCATCTTGTGCCCATTTTGTTTCAGTCTGGTAATAGAACTGTTCTTGTCCCAAACGTTCTTAATCACGCACATTAAAAACACCAAAGTCTTGTCGCAAAAACAGCCGAGAACATTGGTCTCGCCCAAACACTTCTAACGTCATCGTTTATGAAACCTTGTTTAACGTTACGTGTACTAGTATATCAAGTCTATAAATCCCCGTGTAACGTTACAAGTCGGGGCGTGGATTATACCGTAATCCCAGCCCAGGGCTTTACAACCCTATAGCAGGTCCGGACTTTACCGTACGGCCGTTACCTCAATTAAAGATTACATCATGACGGACACTATTGGTATATCTCATTATGGCTGCCTGTCTGGTACGTACAGGTCAACTATCTCACCTGGTTGTTTTAGAGCGTTTAAATATAGACTTGTATGTTCATTGTGATTGTTGTCAAAATAAACCCCGTATTTATCGGTATTTCTATAGAAAATCGTATGTTCTAAATAAGGGTTTAAAAGTTCCCGTCGGACATCTGGTCAATTGACATTGATTCGCTTCGTACAGCGATCGGGCATTTGTTTTGAAATTGGTTTTATGCTTTCGGCTGTTGCTCGACTTATATGATATACATATTCCCATTTCGCCTTATTTGATGTTACATGTACTTATTGATGGAAAGGTGCGAAATGAGACGCCAAAACTTTACTGTACCGTTGAACATTACCAGGTGCTTCTCCATCGTGACAGCGATATAAATTCCTTTTTATGTTACCCACTGCAAATACATACATGTAGGCATTAAAAATTGTTTTTGTCTAGAAAAAAAAACAAAAAACTTTTTGTTACCAGTATTTTTGATTACGAGGATTACACATTATTTTGATATCATACATGTAATTATGAAACTATTCAATTCAAACATATTAAACAATATTCATTTAACATTGAAAAGATTGAGTTGATCAGATTTTCGAAAAGTATTAATTTATTTTTTAAATCAAAATCAAATCAAGGGAAGTAATTAGACGACGAGTTTATTTTGTAATGCATACATCGGTGATAACACGTTAAAAACATGCAGTTTGGCATCCTCACCATACCAGACGTAATAATGGTTTATAAAATATACGTTAAACATTTCGTCGAATTTATGTTAAGTATGTTTTTGTAAAAATATTCGAATCACATGAAACAAATCATATAATTTGTTTCAAAAATCATATAGACTCATGACACATGTTCTGCTAAATGGCTTCAATGATGCTGTTAACAGGTCGTCTAGCTACAGTGAACAAAAGTATCCGGAAAAAAGTCCAGCCCAGATGTCTGTCCTAAAGTAATGTAGGGACATACCGGGCCAGTGCTCCGTTTCTGAACAGATATGCAGCACTGGAACAAAGGATGTTATTTTCAGATGTATTTAAAGCCTTTTGAATTTACAGTAGACAGTAGATCTATCACGATGGAAACAATGAAGGGAGGTAACTCGAATGAGACTAACCCACAGGTAGGATTGTGACTTCATGTTCCATATACAGTTCGTTTCGTCTGACAGCTTTACAGTTGTTTTACATGTCGTTTTCAAGTTTTTCGGAGGCGATTTTTTAGTTGAGCTGAGGTTATCGCAACTCTAAACAAACAGCGATATAAACAAAATACCATCAATTATATATAACGAATAATCGGCTATAAATAACTGTTGTCTATATCGGACATTTTACTATAACAAGCAATTGTCTCACTAGAAACTGTCTTAAACGGATTGTCGACTATACTAATTAACTGTCTATAACGACCATTTCTCTTATCGACAAATAATGGTAAGTTCCCGGTAAAGTCACCTCTTTTAACAGATATATACATGTATATATCCTACTACACATAACGGGAACTTGTACATAAAGGACACCTTTGTACACAAGACACTTGTGTATAATGTATGATGTCTATAGTTTACAAGTGTTAACGGACACCTGTTTATAGCAGACACATCACTATCATGGTTGCATGTGCATTATCTTACGGACACCTGTCGATATGGTCGGTAACGGACCCCATTCTACACCCATTACAGACAAGTTTGACAGACAGTGCTACCAATATCAGCAGAGCTATGGTAGATCAGAGAAATCTTACGTATATATTCTATATAAAGTTTGTGTATATCTATATCTATACATATATCCATTGCCTATATATCAAAATGTCAAAATTAACACGAAAATCCAACCATTGGTTTACTAAATACAACTAGGTCAAAAGTCAAAAGTATCTATAAGTTGGTAAGCTTATTGTGATTATGTAAGATTCCCGATGTGCCCTTTAACTCCAGGTCGCTGTTCGAGTTTACACACAGATTAAATATCTTTAAACAAAAACGGTTTTGGTTCATTTACTGCCGTTTTGAACACGATCGCGTGTTACGCTCCAAAAGCAGTAATACAGAATATATATGGGCCGAGAGTTCAGTGTATAACCTTTACTGTGGTCTATCAGATAGGACACCTACATGTATATCTAATTATTTGTTATAGGGACAGGTATATCAGAGAAGCATGGGGTTAGTAGACATTTGTGTTTGTTTGACTGCGGGTATATATATATATGTACATATGGGGCAAAGAAGTAATTCCAACAGTGTGGACAAGTTTAGGTTGTCAAATTTTCGAAGCGATCCGCTCCTTTATCAAGACACAGTGAAACAGAACAGTTACATGTACATATACATCATATTACAAGAAGATAGAACTTATATACTATAATTGAAAATATAGCATGTAGAAATATAGAAATATATACATGTACATGTTTATAGACATGTGCGTATGAAGGGGGGAAAACGGTGTGTTTGTATGGTATACAAGCGATCAAAAAGGTTAATTTAGTAACGAATGTTATCAGAACCAGGTCAAACAGGTCAAGATGTTACACTTGTAAATTGTAATTCAGAGTTGAGTTTCGTGTCAGGACAAACAACTGTTAGCGTATTTTTTTCAACAGTCGAATTTATTATCAAATTTCAATCAGCTAAATATCGTGTCTTCGAGTTGTATGTTAATTAAATTGGATTTGTCGATGTTATAAAACACAACAAAAGATAACGACGAAAGTAAAATTGGTGGTAAATAAAAAGCAAACAAATAAATCATTTCAAGAACATCTTTAATTCGAAAAATGACGATTGTCCTACAGTGTCTGAAGTAAATAGACAAAAAAATATGTGTAACATTATCAATTTCGATTAAATTTAAGATTGAAAAAGAACTGCTTTGTATATCGTGAACAATGCCGTTTCACAAATCAATTAGGCGTGCTCTGTAAACTGTGACGTCACTCGACTCGATACAATACGGTATTGTGCCCTTTTGACTCCGTTTTTGGTGTATTAGTATATACAGAATGTATATATACGTACCTAAATGAACATGCTTTGTTCTTTAGAGTTGACTTGTTATGATAATAATTTTACAATATCTTGTTTGTGAGAATTATCAGACCTATTTGTTTATAAAACTTTATAAACAGACATGAAGAACTACTGTTGGAACGGAGGAATTATATTTGTGTGTATTCTAAGTTATATAGGTAAGTATACATTTATATGATTCATGTATATGTTTTAGTTTTAACATGCAATGGACATGTTTGGTAGTGGTTAACCAACGAAAAGACATTTTCTTAAGTTTTACCGACATCTATTCGATATTCTCGTCTCTGAGCGCTTTAAAACGTGACATTCAACTGAACTATAAGCGATTTCATTGTGACCATGAATAAATAAACAACCACGGAATATAACAAAATCAGCGTCATCGATTCTTGTATCATAAAAAAAACACATCCATGCACCTTCTCTGAGACTTATGTATCAAACATTGTTGATAGAATGAACTCATGACGTGTCATTTCAAAATTCTTTTCTTCTAAAGAACTTTTATTGTCATGGTTACATTTAAATGATGTTTGTTTGTTTGTGTCGTGTCAATTATATTCCGTCTTTGCGTATTGCAGAAATATCTTCTCTTGGGAGCAGGTATTGATTGTTACGTCATTGGTTTGTGCGAGAAAATTACGTCGTTTTCTCAAAAAATGATGACGTTACTCTCACAAACAAGTGAGGTAACAATCAATACCTGCTCCCAAGCGAAGATAACTCTGCAATACCCAAAGACGGAATATCAAATTGCTTAGAAATCAGGGTTACAACAATACACGGAAGTACGCCAGTCACTCGCAGGTTTACGTGCTTCTTGTCACGTGTACCTATTTGTACCGCTATATAAACTACAACACTCGGATACATGTACCATCCGAAATCCGCAAAAGAATTTTATTATTTTTTTAAATATTGTTTTTTAATGTATTTTACTTTTGTTTCCCCCCTAAGATTAGCAAACAGAACTGTTCAATATTTTCAGATTTGTGCAGCTGTGGTGATCTGTGTTACGACAGTACACATGAGAAGTATAACTACTGTAGTGGCTACTGCTGTGGAGACCAGTGTTGTAACGTGTAAGTTCTCTATCTGTCAGTTTATATTGTATTCACTATAACTACTTTAGTGGCTACTGCTGTGGAGACCAGTGGTGTAACGTGTAAGTTCTATACCTGTCAGTTTATATTGTATTCACTATAACTACTTTAGTGGCTACTGCTGTGGAGACCAGTGTTGTAACGTGTAAGTTCTATACCTGTCAGTTTATACTGTATTCACTATAACTACTGTAGTGGCTACTGTTGTGGAGACCAGTATTGTAACGTGTAAGTTCTCTACCTGTCAGTCTCTATTTTATTCACTGTAAATATTGTCTTTTTCGAAATGTCAGTTTATATTATTTTAGCTAAAACATACTAAATCGCCAAATCGCAACATTCAAAATGTAAAATTATAAAAAAGAAAATGGTATTTATTTCTGTTGAGTCAATATAAATAAGAATATTTTCTTCGTTTTAGACGACAATGAGTACCATATGGTGAATCTTTACAGTAGGCAACCACGAGATCAGAATTATTGAGTTAAGGTGTGCTTAACTTAGCCATGAGTTTAATACATTGATTTAAAATTAGTGCTGCGTCCGTCTCATAATACATAAAATATGTCAAACAGCATATATAACTGGTTATTGATATTAGTCAGAACACCTCTACAAAGAGTTGTCGTTCCTTGCACGTATTTCAATCTAAATCAACATTCCTGGCAAACTATTTCAGTTATTCTGTCCGTTTTTTTATACGCTCTTTTTAAATAATTGCTAACGAAATTTATAGTAAAAATGACAATTCTATAACATTTCTTTAGTTATGGAGTTTCTAAAGCAAAACAGCAATAGTTAAAATTCATTCAATATGAACACAGAAATTCTATTTCTGGGGAAGAAAGTTTATGATCGACCGACATTTATTATTCAAACATATTTTATTGCCTAAAGTTACAGCGTAGTAGGATTGGACAAAATTAATAGTAAAAATATTAGCATTTGATAAATCCTAAACAATGAAAGGTCATCAATTAAATACCTTTATGTCTTGTAATTATATAGTCTCTGAACGTGAAATAACAAAAATCTGTTACATTAAACATTATGTGAACATTTCTAAATACACTGTATCAGTACGCTCATGACTACAGGCAGCTTGGTGACACCACCATGTAGTAATACTAAAACGATATGTACATCTACCGGTATATTATCGAGATCCAGAAATTGTAGACAATATACACCAACACGAGACTATTGTACTCTGTCGGTGCACAGGGACCTGAGAATTTGTTACATCTATATTTGGCCCTAACGTAAGGTGTTCATAGTAATTTAACACGTTTTAGGGCTTTAGGTCATCTTTCGGTAAAAATACCTCCTCCCCCACGAATGTCGATTTAAACCCCTAAAACATGAAAAATTACCATGAACACGTTAGTTTAGATACAAATACAGCTGTAATAAATTCGCAGGTCCCTGTGCTCGAAAGGGTAATAAGTGTCCATTTTTTCGGGGTAAAAAGTTTAAGGATCCCTGTCTTACTGGACTGCCGTTATTCCTATATACAGTAACCTCCCCTTAACTTCCGTTTAGATATACCCGTAGCACATTAGGGATCGTACACTTCCGTTGTCCAGATAGCTCAATCGGTTTTAGCGATGGTATAGCAATCTAAATCCAGGGCCAGGCCTCGCCGAATGTTCGATACTCAAGTCACGTTTGTTGATTATATTTTCTTTATTTCATATCCATTATATTTTTCTTCACGTCCCGCAAACTTTAAATTTCTGTTCAAAAATTATATATCTTAGCTATAGTCATGTATGAAAAACAAGTTTCAAATGCATACATGTAGTTTCAATTCTTGGCAGGTGCAAGGTGATCTCTAAAGATAAACTCGGCATACGTCTCCTATAAGAGATCTGGTTTTGCTACACAGCTTCGTATCGATCATATAAACGTTTCTGTCACTCAGGCCTTATTTTGTTGGTTGTTAAAGCCATTCTTTTGTATTTTTGTCAAGAGGCGGTTAATTGGCTTTAATCTTGTTTTTTGGCTTTAATCTTGTTTTTTTAGCTTTAATCTTGACAAATATAAAGAACAACAACTCTTGGAAAGGATTGCCCTGGTTGACTCCATAACACTGTTTAAATTTCCTGTGCTAGATGTTCACTTTCTCATAAAATAAAACACTTTCAAACCGTGCTTTCGAAATGGAAGCAATGATTTATAACAAATTTAAATGCTGGATTTAATTGCATTGCGCTACAGCTTGTTGTGAGAGGATAAAACACACAATTTTCTTTTTCTCAAATATTTCTCCTACCTGGATTATGTACATAAATAAAATGGAAATAGGAGCCGGTATCAAATATCCGGAAATGCATCAGTAGATTATCACCAGGATATACTGTACAACATAAAGGCCCGGTCACACAGCCCTCCACGGGCGTATCGCGGCCGAATCACGGCCAAAAATTTCTGCCCGTGAAGCAGACGCTGTTGGACGCTTTGAGGTCGCGATAAAGACGCGATACAGCCGTACTTTACCCGTCGTTACACGCGGTAAGAAATTCACACGCGGTTGGCCGCGCGAAAAAGTTTTGGGCTGCCCAAAAATTTAGACCGCGGGTAATCGGGGGCGGTACACGTGGTACACACGCGGTAAAGACGCGGTACAGACGCGGAACGAACGTGCTAGGACGTGCTACGGCCGCGGTTAAGACGTGGTTACACGCGGTAGGACGCGAAATTTTAGCGGGTAATCGCGGGTGGAGCACGGTCATAGCACGTTTGTTCCGCGTCTGTACCGCGTTGTTATCACGTGCATTAGCGTGTGTACCGCGTGTAAACACGGACAAACGCCTTTCTCCGCGTAAACAGCGCGCCCCAATACCGGCCTAATCACGTTCAATTGCGTCTTGTACACGTCCCAAATACGATTGTCCACGGCCTAATCGCGTCCGTACAACGTCTGATTTTAGGTATATAAAAAGCGCGATTTGCCGAGCATTCGTCAGTTGTGCTCCAGACGTCAAGGGGTGAACATGGATCCCCGTCACCGTAATGA